ACTTTATATAAACATTCATATATTTTGTATACTAAGAAATGTAAGGTACTTACCCAGTTACACTTGGATACTTTAATACCAAAATTATTATAACTTTATATAAACATTCATATATTTTGTATACTAAGAAATGTAAGGTACTTACCCAATTACACTTGGATACTTTAATACCAAAATTATTATAACTTTATATAAACATTCATATATTTTGTATACTAAGAAATGTAAGGTACTTACCCAATTACACTTGGATACTTTAATACCAAAATTATTATAACTTTATATAAACATTCATATATTTTGTATGGTAAGAAATGTAAGGTACTTACCCAATTACACTTGGATACTTGTCTTCAAGATCTTTGATAACTTTTCGCGGTAGATTAATTCAGTTGTCATTCAGCTCTTTTTATAGAACTGAAATACTATAATATTTGTGTCGTGTGCAAATATTATCACGTCCTGAAGACCTGAAGTTGTATAATAATATTTGTGTCGTGTGCAAATATTATCATATACTAACATCACGTGATACACGCCTATATCGTAGAAACGTGTGCAAAGAAGGCGTTACCTGCAGAAAAATAAAGAACGAATACCTGAAATTGGCTGGATGAAAGTATTATTTAAACTATATTCTTCATTTTTTCCTATAAGGTCCATATTTTGACTGATTATTACTTCTAATATCTAGGAAACTGTTTGTTCATATGTCAACTTTGTAATCACAATTCCCAAGTTTTTATTACGTCATCTGCACGATTCTAAGACTATGCTGTAGACATTTGATACTCTTGTTTACGAAGAAACGTTTCACAACACTAACACTTGATTCATCACTGATCGTGAGTTGTGATTGGATATTTAGTTTTTATACGAAACGAATCAGATTGAAGGAAAACAAATATGCACGCGGTACATAGTTTTGGTTGCACTTAGTGCGCTACTGTGTACCCCAGGCTGTAAGTATTTTGCACACGAACCATTGACACATAGCGTGTAGTGTGAAATTGATGCACACGAACCACTAGATTCTTGTGCACTCCACACTTTTGATACAAATAAAAGCACGTGAAGATCGTTTCCTAGCAACTGTGAAATCCATCAACTGTCAAGTTTCAAGACCTCAAAGACTGATCTAAAGAATGGCTACTCCTGGTAAGTATTCTTGATTAATGATCTAGCTATATCACTATTCTAAAAATGAATTGAAGTAGATGTTTTTTAAGAAACAGTTTTTAATAAAAATAAATGATATACCATATCAATTAAAGTCGTTAAGATAATTTACTTCTTGATAAGGTAAAAAAAAAGTTAATAGCACCACTAACAATTAGAGAAAATTGTGGAAATCATTTTGAAGTTTTTCCATAATTTATGTATATTTGGGAAAGAATGGTAGGTTTCCCATTTCCGTTACACAAAAGAGATTATGTTATTGTGCAAAATATAAGTATTTAAAGATAATTATTTGAAATACAATAATTATTTTTCTTACATTCACAAGTTAAGTTTTTAAATAATGCAATTAGTAACACCATGTTTATTAACCAGAATGTTTGTATTTATTCATTTAGGCCTACAACTATAAGTATAACTAACATAAAGTATATTTTTACTGGGTATATTAAAGATTTTAATATAAAACACGAATATAAACTTGAAACGCGTTTTTTTTTTTTGTACAATACATAATAAGTGAACTGTGTTTAATACTGGTAGCATAGTTTGAAAACTTGAATTACTTAATAAAAGTATGATTGCTTCATTGGTTATTGAATTTTACAGTAACAGACAAAAATATAAATTATCATTTCATTTCACCATAATGAATATATTCACGTTAAATTTTTACGGAATATTTAAGATTTTCCATCTCATAACTGGAAAATTTACGATCAATATAACTACATTGATTAACTTTGTCTAACTTTTATGTGTTTTTTTTTCAATCTTACACATAGGTGTTGCCACTACACTGAGATGCAGTGCTAACTGCCGATGTGAAGTCTGTCGATGCTGTAGCTCAGCGAAATCGCTAGATCAACAAACCAGATGTAGTCCAAACTGCGGTTGCGACATCTGTCGGTGCTGTGAGGCAGTTAAGCAAAAGCAAGGAAGATGCAGTAGCAGCTGCCGGTGCGAAGTTTGTAGGTGCTGCGAAGCAATAAAGGGAAGATGCAGTCCCAACTGCAAATGTGACGTTTGCAGATGCTGTGAAGGAGCAAAATGTTAAAATAATGCTTTGTTTTTACTGTTTAATTTGATATTATTGTTTAAACAATGGAAATATTGTACAATGCTTGAGTGAACAACCTATATTTTTTGTAACTTTTTAAGGCATTAGCATTTCAATAAAATAATTAGTGGTTAAATAAAATATAAAATGAAGACTTTAAAAATTTTAAACACTTTTAATTTGCTTGACAGTCCACACACACACACACTGTTACTTTAATATTTAAAAAATTAATGGGATGTTTTTGTTGGTTTTTGTAGTATTTCTGAGTCCGTGAAGAAGAAAAAAAAACAACATGCTTTCAACACATATATTAATATTCATTTGAACTGGGATTTTTTGCTTTTGATCTGTAAATATATTTCACTGTTGCTTAATTTCTAAAACAGTTACAATTTAAACGTTGTCGAGGTTACCATTTGGAATGAGGCTGGAGAAGAGTAATGTTGTCAGGCATGTATCAATTCAATATGCAACCAAAGACAGTTTTAAATTTAATTAGTGTTCTAGCTTTTAAATAATAATAATAATAAAAAACAACCGGATCTTAGATCAGGAAAAATCCACCAGAAATGTAACACTGCACTTGTTTATACTGTAACAATATTTATATATGAACCTGTTATTCTTAGAGCTTTCGTTGCATTTTCTGTTGGTCAGAAGTCACGTTGTTACATAAAGTGATTAAATGAAAATTACGAAAAACAACAACAACAACAACAGAAAAAACATATGAAGTTTCCGCTATTAATATTACATTCTAGTAAGTAATATGTAAGTTATTTCCCCAAATTACAGTAAAAAACAGAAAACTTTAATGACAGGCAGAAAAGAGCCCTTATGTATCATCAGAGTGGTCTTTACTATCATCGGAAGGGTCTCTATATAATTATCGTCAGAAGGGTCTATATACACTGAGTGGCAAAATTCAAGTGATCTAATTTAAATTACAAAAGTAATAAACGTTCTAAAAGCATCGAAATGAATAAAAATAGTAACGTAGTCACAACAAGGCACGTGTTTCATCTTTTTTTTTGGCAAATTCCTCTTCATGTCACATGATATTAAATCTACAAAGGGATTTCTTGATAGTAAATGGGCAAAAAAAAATGTCCCTTAATGATATCATAGAAAATATTTAATAAGTTTAGTGTGTTTACACACTTGTTTAATCGCTGTATATTATGAGCTCATCTCACGACATCGATACAATTTATTAATTAAATATAAGCATTGTATACAAATCATAGCTACCAATGAAATTGCACCGATTTTTGCAGCAATGGGTCAGAATGCATCGTCTTAACTTGAATGACATTTAAAAATATCGTTTCAGACAACGAAGTGAGAAACAAAAAGATCTTACGTAAAAAAGCCAAAAACATAGAAATTTAACTCGGGTATAAACTACAATTTGAGAAGGTATCTGCATAAGTAAGATACACAAAGCAGTAAGGAAACAGTTTATCAGATTTGATATCTATTCGCAAGTTTCACATGGCAAAAAGCAAAACCAATTACAGAATTGGATACTTTAGCCCATAACGCCCCTTGTTAAGATAATACAACTGAAGGGCTAAAAATGGCATTTCTCAAAACTTGTAGAAATGTAAATGGTTTGGTCTGAATTTAAGTCAATGTGATTATTTCATGCGTAATGTGTTGATCTATGTTTTTCCTGCTTAATAAAGCCGAAAAAGATATCATTTTGTTTCTAATAAGAAAGATCGTTCCTAAACAGATAATATGTACAGCGAAATCAGTAAAATATTATTATTGATTATAAAGAGGAGATAGTATTGTTGTCAAAAGATGGCAGTAGCTACCTAACAGTGTGACTCTTATTACCCCCCCCTCCCCACCCCCAGTGGCCACAGCGGTAGAAACCGGGTTTCAATACCCGTGGTGGACAGAGCACAGATAGGCCTTTGTGTAGCTTTATGCTTAACTACAGACAGATATACAAGCAAAATGAACTCTCTTATCAATGCAAAATATAAAGAAATATCAACGAATTTCATTAAGATTAACAGAATTTCGAGAGTTAAAGGGCATTTTTTTTCATCCATGAAGAAATCTTTTTTGGCTATAAGACTTAAGTTTTCTGTTATGCTTTGAATCGCAAGTGGACCATTAAAGCTTTAAGTACACGTGTTTTAACCCTCTAATTGCTGGCTTATTTATTTTCTGCCTTTCACTCTGAGTAATTTTATGTGTTTACATGTTGTACCACTCTGTGTGAAGCACTAATAAAAAAAGGAGAAATAACCTCATTTTATGTACAGAAAATGCATACAGAATTAGCTAGATTAATTGTAACAGTGATGATGTTTATATTTGAATTTTTAATCCATGATTTCTCTATCATTACAGTTTTCGTTTATTTGATTTTGTATTTCGCGCAAAGCTATTCAAGGTCTATTTGTGATAGCTGTCCCTAATTTAGCAGTGAAAGACTAGAGGGAAAGCAACTAGTAAACACTACTCACTGCCAGTTCTTGGGCTACTCGTTTACCAACGAATAGTCGGATTGACCGTCATATTAAGTTTAGCACTGAGTCGTCGGGTGGGAGCAGTTTTCCTGTCAATATACAAAATAAATCCCAGTTTGTGAACACTGCCGACCCTTTTAATACGAGCAAAGTCCTAATTGTCCCAAAATCCAGCGGTTCCAAACCTGCCTACACCAGGGGACACGCATACACCTTTCTGGTGTTACCAGCCGAGTTTAAAAATAATATTAAAAAATAAAATATACCCCACACCTCTGTTGGAAAGGCAATTTCAGTGAGTTACGAACGCTTTCCAAAAGCTAGCTATCAACGTTCATACATTGTTGACTCATTCTTGAATTATTTCTTTTAATTTAAATTTTTATTAATATGTGGTATGTAGGCATACCACGTTCTTTTACCCTCTATAGCGATATAATGGTTTTTATAAATTATTGATTATTTAGTTCGCACACTCCCATGGTGCAATACATGATCCAAAGTATCTAATATTATTCTGTTGTAACCCCTTGAACCATTTATTTATTTACTAGATGATATTTCCCTTTTACAAGGATATTTCAGTGTTGCATTTTGAGCCTGGGTTAAACTAGTTAAAACTGGAATATCCTTTGCTGGCTGAACTATGGCGTCAACTAAAACTGATACCTAGTAAATGCTATCAGATAACAGAGGTCATGAGGTGATTCCATTCACTACACAAAGAAAGCAAGGTGATGTTTGAAATGCAGGCACACTTTCTTTGTTCAGTTCTACTTGCTTTCATTATGAGAAGTTCAGCAGATTCATCTTGAGAGGCAGAAAGCTGGCGAGCTATTTACTGATCCAGTATTTGCGATCCTCCACTTGTCTACACAGGTACACACACTGTTTTTATTTGTGTTTAAGTAAAAGTTGTTTTCATTTGTCATTTAAATGTGTCCAATCAGACTAGTTACCCTAGGAGTTGCGCAGCGCGTCGCCAGATGGCGCCATACGTTTGTCGACTTCGGGCAATGACGGGAGAGGATGACGTCACAATACATATTTCTATATGTAAGCATATTTTGTACAATTATTGCCCTGAAAAGGACACTTATTTAAATATCCATGCAATAATTTAACATAAATGCTTACACTTTTACTAGTTTGACTTTATGCTATCTACGTAACTATGTTCTTGACAAAATATTTCAATTTGTAGCTTCTTAGGATAATAGACAAGAAAATACACAGCCGATTTTGATTTAACATACTGGTTATAGTCTATTTTCTATATTTAAACATCCTTTTTTTTAGAATTATTGTCTTGAAAAGGATGCTTATTTAAATATCATGCATTTGCACTAGTTTGTCTTTATGCTATCCATTAAACCATGTTCTTGACATAATATGTCATTTCACTTATGTATTTTTTACAGTGTTTCTATGGGTCAAATATGTTGTTATTACTAAGGATAGTGTTACTCTAGGCAGACAATATGTCATTGGACACCTGCTGTTTCGCTTTCACAAGTAAATGAGACAAGTATTATAAAATGTATATTATCCATTATTTGAATGAGCCAATTATGATAACCAATAATTTACTTTACACACTTTTATCATCCTGAAAAGGACGCTTATTTTGCTACAACTAAATATAATATATGAATAACGTATTGTTTATCCAAACATTTTCTACAGAACATTGACATGAATAATAAAATTTCTTCTTCAATAGACCTAGAGAGTATCTGACGTCAATACCATTGATTGCTAGGAAATACAAAGATCATAACACACACAAACAGTGTGAGCACTGAAATCAAGACAGCTGTTTGTTAGGAGGTAGCCACGTGGTCACGTATTACTGATGACATGTTTGATCTTGTGCTCACCTAAACTAAGTAATACATTTGTTTATGCAAACCAGAAATTCGATTTCTGTGTCTTTCATTAAAAATTATTAGTTTTCCAAATGAACATAAGGACGTTTAGTTATAAACTAAGTGATTATTTCAAAGATTTTCGGTAAAATGAATTATATAATTCAGTGTTCTTACATAAAATTCACGTTTTGTCATAGCCCATCAAATATGCTATCATTCACACTCAGCATTTCAGGTACTATAAGCACCATAGTTTATAATTTGTTACGTATTAGAATTTGGAATGGTCTGAAACTGAGTTAACTGATAGATTTAGATTTAGTAGTTAAATTGTACTTTGTATTTAGAAGTTAAGTAAAAGCCGATATATAGTCAGTTTATGATATTTGCCAACAGGATACACACAGTTTTCTTTTTAACATAAATACGTTTTAATATACACATAAAAATACAATTTACAATAACAGTTATTACAAACAATGATTTATAAACAAAAGTTCCACAAACTTACAAGCAATATAAAGTCTTCTTTCTAGTCTGGAACTTCTTTGATATCTTATCGAGGGTTCACGATGAGCGAGTTGATTACGAGTTGATGTGGGTATAATTTGCTTAACGGGAAGCTAGATAGCTTTGCCCTTCATTATTCCTCAGCCACACATGTCGAGTTTTCCATAATGAATTTATATAATGTTTTCGTATAAATACGAATGTCCAATGAGAATCCACTGAAGTTAA